CTTTTTCCTAAAGAATTTGCAAACCTTTTGGCAAACATTGCCATTTCATCGTCTAAATCTTCATTGCTACTTGAATTAAAATCAAAATTTTGTTTGGCTTTGAGGGCTATGCTCTTCTTCTTTTACTTAGCATTAGATTTTAGTATGGCTAAATTTTCTTCATGCTCAGCCAAACTTCCAAATAGAGCAACTGTAAAAGTCATCGATTTACTTTTAGCTTCTTCAATTACTGTGATCTTTGGCTGGTACTCAGCCGACAATGCTCTTATAATTTTTCTGACTTGCTCTTTCTGAGGGTGTATTTTTCTCAATACAGCAAGCTCGTCATCAAATGAGTATATATGACCTACATGCCTCTAATGCATTCACCTTCCTTCATTTTAAATAGCTCATACTCTTGAGTGAGTGTGCTTCTCTTATTCTCCCTCACTCTTTTTATGCCTTTATATGCAATCTTTGGTTCAGTCTTTGGAGATTTCAAAACTGCTCACTCTAAAGTATTCTAGCTGACTTAAAGCACTGATAATGATCAACTTTACCTTAGAGTTGAGCAGCACAACTTCTTGTCTTTTTCATCATACTCATTTATACTTTTTCTCACTTGTACTCCATCTATAGTTTTTAGTAGGATGTATGGACCTTTCTTAACAATATCCTATAAATTCAAATCTAAAGCCTCAAAGAATAATCTTATTTTATACTTCTAACATATTTCATTAGTCCCATCTAGCATCCATAAGCTTAGATAACACTAAATCTTTATCCACATTGCTCCCAAAATTCAATTTTTAAGCTTAGGGTCCCTAACTCAACATTTCAAATAACCATCCAATGATCAAACTCAAGTTTAGAAGTTTAATTTAACTTCCCATAGACTTAAAGAAAACAATGGATTCAGTTATAACCCCAAGAGAAGATGAATTTATCATCTAACCATAGCTAAAGCTTCTGAAAATTCACATAGAGAGGAAAGAAAGTGGATAGGAAACTTACCTAAGAGTTAAACTAGTGTAGATTGGCTTCCGGATAACTAAAGAGTGAAGCCTTAACAAAGAAATGCCCTATCTTCATCGCCCCTCACATTTTCCTTCCCCTTTCCCCCTTTTTTGATGCCCGAACATGTTAGATAAACAAACATTTTTGCGTTTAGGCCTGGTTGGCCTAAATTCCATCCTAGCCCACTTCAAAAGCTATCCAATAAACTCATTAATGGTTCAAAAACACCATTAGCCTTGATAAATGCTCAAATTTATTATTTTACCCTTTTTAAAACTTAAATTTTCAAATTTATAAAATTTTAGAATGTTACAAGTCATGCATGGATTAGACATGCTAAGGCTAAAACATGCGTGTGCCTATTTGGAATCACAAGTGTATTGGAGGCATGATGGCACAAAATTTCTAGCAAATTATATATCATTAGAAAGCTATTGAAGTTTAATTTTCAACAAAACAACAACAACAACAACAATTAAAATAGTGACCAAGGGTCAAAACTAAATATCATGCAAAATTAATATTTTAGCACTCAACTTCTAAAATTTATATATTTCTCCATAAAACTTCATTTTAAATAAATTAATTATCATTGAAAATTTATTAGGATATATTTTTAAATGAAATATATTTTACATTAAAATGATCTATATAGAGAGAGAGATATGACTAAAAATATAATCAAAGGTCAAATATGATTTCTTGCATAATTCACATTTTGAAGTATAAACTTTAAGTATTCATAACTTTTTCAACTAAACTCCAATTTAAGTAAGTAGAACATTTTTGAAAATTTTATGGAGTTAATGATCAAAATATTTCAAAGCTTGTGAGATATATAAAAAAACATAATTGTAGAAAAATTATATCTCACTCTTTTTTTTAAGAACTAAAACGCATGCTCTAATTTAAATTATTTTGAGCTAATATTGTATATCTAAATTAATGAATTTAACATAAAGACTTTTAGCTTAACAATATTATATCTATTCAGTCTAGGGCCTCCAGGGTACATTTAAGATTGTATAAATATTTTCATTCTTCTTAAGCTCTTATTAGATCATCCTTTTCTTTATGTCCTTTTATTTTAAGTGTAACATGTTAATAATAACTTTAATTTTTTCCTCTTCATGCTCACTCTCATTTTTACCTTAGACAACCTATACTAATATGTCATGAACAAAATGGTTAGTTCAAGTATCAATAATACTTTAGACAAATTATGAAAATAATACTTTAGACACCCTTGGATATAAAATCACTTTAAAATAAGAAAAAATATGATATTATAGAATAATGTTGATGCATATAAATCATTTTTCAAGTCACATGTAATATGAAAAAATGTAGGTAAAAGCACTTTAAAACACTTATTTTATGGTCATAGTTATTGGTTATATATATATATATATATATATATATGAGAATAATTAGGTATAAATATAGTTAACCAATTTATATTCGTCATCATTCAAACTTAAACTAAATATAATATGATAAGTCATTATATCCAACATGATTAGGATGTTAAACTTGTATAAATGTCATGAAATGCAAATAGCATTATAGACTATTTGGCACATTGTGAACTTGATGCTTGGCTTGATATACATGTGGTGTCTACTTTTATGCTAAGTTTCGATGGCTTTTGAATAAGGATGTCACATGATTCTGCCTAATGTTTAAGTTTTCATTGTTACTAAAAAGATTTTTATAACAGATTGTTACTATGAAGAATATGAAAAATTACTCAAATCTGCCTAATTGTTATGAGGTTGAGACTAATTAGAGGTTAGCTAAATCAATTAAATATAATATTCTTGTAATTATTTTTCATTGTAAAAGTTATTAGTATTCATTAAAAATTTAAAATTGTTCAAAATAACTATTAAAAAAATTTATATAGTTAAAATTAATTTTTCTCACTAATTTTTTTAAGATAATTGAAATATTACAAATAAATTTATTTTTTAAAAAAGAAGGAAAAACATTTAACCACTTTGGGAGAAGATAAAAGCTTAATGATTTATTTATTAATTTTTGAGAACAATATAGAGAAGATAAAAGAAAATGATATTTAACATGAACAAATACTCCCTCCATTAAAGAACATAAGACATTTTTAATTAAATTTTACTTTTAAATAGTTAATTATTTTCAAACTCACACCATCTTTTTATATTTACTCTTATTGAATAGGGTGTTTCACTTTAAAATAAATATACAATGATTTACTTATTAGAGACACTTAAAAAATATATTAATTACACTTTAAAATACTAAAAATATCTTATATTTTTAAACGAAGGGAGTATAATATATACTCAATTATTTTCATTTAAAAAATTTAAAAATGGACCAAAATGTTTATACGAAAATTATTTAATATTTAAAATTTATTTCATTTTAAGTTTATTTTCCTAACAAAATTAATATTTGCTAGTACAAAAAAAATAATATTTTATTAAAAATATAATATTTAATAATATTAATAATTAAAAATAAAATAATGTGTGTGTGTATTTGATAATATATTATTTGATACATGTGTCTATATTTAAATGTCATATTTAATTTTGCAATTGCAAGTACATTTTAATTTGAGTTAAGGTATATTTTTATTTTTAAACTTTTTTTTAGGAGCGTTGGGCATCCTATATTGATAAGTGAGCAATTTTATCCCTAAATTATTTTTTTAAAGAGCAAAAAACTCCTTTTGTAGGATGTTCGGTGCTTCTTGAATAAATAATTTAAAGAAAAAATTGTCTCACTTATGAGTAGAAAGTGCCGAACGCTCTTAAAAAAAATTCAAGGGTAAAAATTTACCTTAATGCTTTTAATTTAACTGTCAAAGAGGTGGGAAGTTAAGTAACATACTCCCTCTTATTTTTATTATAAAACACTTTTAATTGTTTGACACAAATTAAAAAAAGTTAGTTTTTTTTATATAATAAAAAAATGAAATATATTTTTATTTTTACCCTTGACTTTAAATAATAATATAACTACATTAAATAACTTCATTCTAATAAAAAAGAAGTAAAACTGGGAAAAAAGTTATTTAATTATAACAAAGTGTCCTATATTTTAAACCAAATATTATTTTTAAAAGGTGTCTTATAAATAGAATCGGAAGAAGTATTTCGTAATGATTTATTCAGTACAAATTTAATATTAAAATTCTTTATAATTTTTTTATGAAATTTTCTTTTGGTAATGTAATATTATAAATAAAGATAACATTCTAACTTCCATTTTTTGTATATATTTTTTTAAAATTACAAATGAAAATTTTTAAATATAAACTGTTCAAAATAAATCTATATAATTAATTTATAAAAATTGAAAAAAAAAATTAAATATTAAATTTGGGGAATATGCATTAAATAGAGCGTTGGTGATATAATAAATTCATAAAGATTTTAATATTTATAAATTTTTATTTTAATAAATATAAAATAAAAAATAAAAACTTTAAATTTACACTAATCTCGTCAGGTGTGAAGGAGGGAGAGATCAAAGGAAAGAAGCCTAATTGATTGAAAACCGCAGAAGAGTTGCACGCTTGCATGGCAACAGAGGAGACAAACTCGTAAGAATAGTAAAGGACGAGAAATGGGTTGTTGGCTATTGGCTTTGTTACTAAGTCAATCAAGCTCTTCCATTATTTGCCCACCTTTCCGTCGACATCGTTTGTCCTTTTCATGGTGGAGAATAGCAGGGATGCTTTCAAGGCTTCAACAAAGGCGTGCTGCTTCCCCATTTGGACTTTCCAAGAACCTTCAGCAACCCATGTGATTTCACCTGTGGTAGGGAGTAATCAGACAAATACTGACAATTAAGAATTCCAAGTTGCTTCATGATTACCCATATTCATGTGACACCATTAAATTATTTCCTATCATTTGTTGCCACGTGCGATGAAGTCAAACTATCAAGTGATAGAATTAGTTTGATCTTATCTTTCTTCTCTGATCGTGTATATATCAGTAAAAGGTATAAAAATTTCATCGCTATGCCATTCGACTTCAAATGTTAATGATGATCCTGATTGATTTACCGCTGAATTAAGACAGCAATCGTGGTGCTGGACCTTCTGGTTTGTCTTCCACTTTCCAATCGTGGCCACTCATGGCCTTGACTCTCTGCTCCGAGTCTACGGGCAATTCCCAGGACGGCAGACTCTGAGTAATCTTTTATATCTTCTTTGCGAGAAATAATCTGGGGAGTAAGCAAGTGTGAACTTGAAGAAAACCCAATTACTAGCCAAAATGCCAGATTACTTCTACTCCATCTTCTTCTTCCTCTTCTTCTTCATTGTCCTGAGTGATGCTGAGTCTAAGTCACATCTGTATGATCAAGAACATGAAGTCCTGCTGAATATAAAACAACACTTCTATCCATTCCTCAACCAGTGGGCCCCACCGAATTCCTCTCATTGTTCTTGGCTTGGGATCAACTGCGGCCCTGATAACTCTGTCACAAAACTAGATTTTGGTGGCTTGAACATCACCAAAACAGTACCACCTTTCATCTGTGACCTCAAAAATCTCACCTTTATTGATTTCCAGCTTAATTATTTTGGTGGGGAGTTCCCGAAATCTCTCTACGACTGCTCCAAGCTTCAGCACCTTGACCTCAACCAGAACAACTTTGTGGGTCTGATTCCAAACGATATTGACCGATTGGCCGACCTGCAATTCCTTAATCTCGGTTCTAACTATTTCTCCGGCGACATTCCGGCGAGCATAGGAAGGTTGAAGGAGCTGAGAAATCTTCAGCTTAACTTTTGTGATTTTAACGGCAGTATCCCGGATGAAATAGGCGACTTGTCCAATCTTGAATTTTTGTCCCTGGGTCAGAACAACGCTCTGCCTCCTACACAATTTCCTCAAAGCTTCACCCAACTGAAAAAATTGAAGACGCTTTGGATGTCCTCTATGAATTTGATTGGGAAAATTCCAGAAAGTTTCGGAGAAATGATGAGTTTGGAGGAATTGGATTTATCGCAGAATCAATTGAGTGGGCATATTCCCAGTGGCTTGTTTACTCTGAAGAATCTAAACAAATTGTTTCTTTGGAAAAATAAGCTATCTGGAGAAATACCTACAGAAATTGAAGCTTTGAATCTAACAATACTCGATGTTTCAAGGAATAATCTTACTGGAAAAATACCAGATGGTTTAGGGAAGCTCAAGAACCTAACGGGTTTGAGTTTGGATATGAATCAACTATCAGGAGAGATCCCTGAAAGCCTTTCTCATCTACCAGCTCTAGTAGACTTCATGGTTTTTCAAAACTATCTATCAGGTAGTCTTCCTCCTTACTTCGGTCGTTATTCACCACTTGAGACCTTTCAGGTTGCAACCAATAGATTGACAGGAAAATTGCCAGATGATTTATGCTATAATGGCAAGTTAGTTGGAATAAGTGCCTCTGACAACAATCTAAGCGGGGAGCTGTCAGGATCACTGGGGAGCTGCAATAGCTTGGAACACTTATTTCTGGAAAATAATAGTTTTTCCGGCAAAATCCCTGGCGGCCTATGGACGTCTTACAATTTGAAGACTTTAATGATCAACGACAACAAGTTCACTGGAGAGCTACCTCAAAGTTTGGCTTGGAATCTTTCTCGTTTGTCCATTGGTAACAATCAATTTTCTGGTAGAATTCCAGTAGGAGTATATGCCTGGAAGAATCTGATTGTGTTTGACGCTAGTAAGAATCTCTTCAATGGAAGTATTCCAAAAGAGCTAACAACTCTTTCCAAGCTAACAAAATTGCTGCTTGATCAGAATCAACTAACAGGGCAACTTCCTTCAGAAATCATATCTTGGAAATCTCTTACAGCTCTAGATTTGAGCCACAATCAACTTTCTGGACAAATTCCCAATTCAATGGATCGTTTACCTGTCCTTGCAGAATTATACTTGTCAGATAATAAACTCTCTGGTCATATTCCACCTCAACTAGGTAAATTGTCAATGACCCTCACAAACCTCAATCTCTCCTCTAATCTTCTCACAGGGAAGATTCCTAGGGAATTTGAAAACCTTGTTTATTCCAACAGCTTTCTAAACAATTCTGGTCTCTGTGCTGATACAAAAAAGCTAAAGCTTCCCTCATGCAATTCGGGTTCTAGCCTTCAAAGGTTAAGCAAGAGGTCATCTGTATCTCTTGCTTTGATCATAGTCCTAGTACTGGTAGCCTCTTTAGCGGCTTTCTTGGTATTACTCTTGATTTTTAGAGTATACAAATCAAGAAAGCAGGAATTGGATACTTCCTGGAAGCTCACTTCCTTTCACAGGCTAAGTTTCACTGAAACAAACATTGTGTCATCGATGACGGATCATAATATTATAGGCAGAGGTGGGTATGGTACAGTACACCAAGTTCATGTCGATGATTTTGGTTATGTTGCTGTGAAGAAGATATTGAATAACAAAAAGTTGGGGAAGAAACTTGAGAATGCATTCCTTGCTGAAGTTAAGATTTTGAGCAATATTCGACACAACAATATTGTAAAGCTTCTGTGTTGTATTTCAAGTGAGGATTCTCTACTGCTTGTGTATGAATATTTGGAAAACCATAGCCTCGATCAATGGTTGAACAAGAAGAATAGGTCTGACCATAATTTTGTTCTTGATTGGCCAAAAAGATTACAGATAGCCATCGGAGCTGCCCAAGGTTTGACCTATATGCACCATGATTGCTTCCCACCTGTTGTTCATCGTGATATTAAAACAAGTAACATCCTTTTGGATTCCGAGTTCAATGCAAAAGTTGCAGACTTTGGTCTAGCAAGAATACTGATAAAGCCGAGTGAACTCACTATGTCAGTTGTCGCAGGATCCTTTGGCTACATTGCTCCAGGTTAATCACTTACACCATTTTTCTTTCTCTTTCATAAGCATATAAAAGTTTCAATCTAATGGGAGTTTTCACTTTGAAATGCAGAATACATTCAAACCACAAAAATCAATGAAAAGATCGATGTGTATAGCTTTGGGGTGGTGTTACTAGAACTGACAACTGGAAAAGAAGCAAATCGTGGAGATGAACATTCATCTCTCGCGGAATGGGCATGGCGTCACGTGCAATTGGGTGGAGATGTAGAAGAAGTTCTAGACGAAGAAATTAAGGAAGCATGTTATATGGATCAAATAAGCTGTGTCTTCAAACTTGGGCTGATGTGTACTGCAATACTGCCAGCTAGTAGGCCTTCCATGATGGAGGTTCTGCAGCTACTGCTTCGTTGTAGAGACCCCTTTGGTTATGGAGAAAGGAATGTTGGGATCTGTGATGGTGTTCCTCTCCTGAAGAATTCCAAAAGGGAAAGTATATTGGATATTGATGATGATTTATAGCGTCAATGGGGCTTGCAGGTGAAGTAAATCCTTTCAGATAATACAGGAAGAAGACAAACAACATGGTCTTCAACAAATTGAGAATCTGGGGTCGATGGACAATAAAGGGCAATTGATTAAGTCAAGGTCTGACTTGAGAGCAAGGTATGATGAGACTGGTGAGCTATGAATAGCTCAGGCTTTCAAGGAAGAGAGAAGTGAGAAATAATTTTTGTTCTTTTAAGAGAGAAGTGACAACAAAGCTTGTTTTGTAACTGAAGTTGTATAATAATGTCACAATAAAGCAGTTATTTTGACATGTGAAACAAAGAGATGTTCTTACATGATGACCACTAAATAGTATCTCACCTCTTGTATTTTTAAGCAAGGGCATTGAAGAGAAATAATTTAAGATTGTGTTTGGATAGGTGAATTTAAATTAAAAATTTGAATTTAAAATTTATAAATTTTAAATTTTTTGCTTGGATGATATAAAAAATTTAGAAAATCAGAATACCACTATATGTTCCATCTCAAGCAATTTATATATATATAGAACACTTTGAGGCCAATTTTTGTTTCAATATTTTCTCCCTCCTTTATGAAACTTGTTTCTCTTACTTTCTGCATTAGTTTCTAGACTCCTGAACTCAATTTTGTCTTGATTTTTCCCTATTCATACCTTGCTTCCAATTAACTACATTGAATTTAAAACCACCACCACCAACACCACCAGTAACAACTACAACAACAAATAAACAGCCTTGTTTATACATGAAGGTTTTGATTTGCTCTAGTTTCCAACGGGAAGTACTACGCCAAAGCCTAGTTAAAACCTACCATTTTATTCGGAAACGCAAGAGGGAAAGAATGCCGTACCTATCTACAAAAGGAGCAGCATCAATGGTTGCAATATTATTTTCTCTCCTAGATCAAGCAATGGAGGCAGTATAAAACCAAATAGCAATAGATGAAGCCCCACTTTGGACTTGTCCAGTCTTTTGGATAAAACTCTGCAAGTCCAGTAACAATAATTTGGCTTCATTGTTCCATCTATTGACCTTCATGGTACACAATTCAACAACTGTACTTCTTCATCGTGGGATTAATAACCTTATTTTGAGAAGTCATCCACTCCCAAATACTAAGAGGGAGACGCTGCTTGAAGGGCTGCTCCAATACCATAGCCTCATCTCCTAACAGTTCCTTAAGAGTGTTCTCTAAGCAAGTATGGATTTTTTTTGTAGTGTTTGAATAATCCTCCATTTAGTGCTATAACTAATTTTTGCTTCACTCCATCCTTGTCGATGTCCCTTCCTGTTTTCTTCAAAATGCCTAAAATACTAGAAGCAGCTTGGTAGGCCCCACAAGCAGCACCAATGTCACATAGTTCAATAACAATCTTGCTTGTTCAGAGAGATGTATCATATCAGAGATCTTAGGAAAGGAAAGCAAGCGAAAACCTCCATTGTTATGGGGCCAATTTTTACTATCAAAAACATAAAACATGTGCTTTTATCCAGGATGACAAATCGGAGACATTAATCTCATTAGTTTAATTTAGGGATAATGGAATGTTCAGTCCCTTAAGTTTGGTTCAGTAATTGATTTGATTCCTTAAATTTAATTTTTATTAATTTGGTCCTTTATGTTTTCTTAAATTATCATTAGAATCATTTAAGTTTTAAAATATGAATTGACTTTTAATATAATTGAATGTGTAAAGTATATTGATATATGACATGTATACTTAGCTAAATGAGAAAAAATTAACCTTCAAATTAGTTTAATTTTTATCAATATAATCTCTAATAATATGTTTTGTTATCTTGTTTCTTGAAATTTTAGCGTCATTTTTTAACCTAACTAAATAATTACACTTCTTTTCATTAATTTACATGGATTTCATTTATATTATATTATCCATGTCCGTAAATTTTAATAGGCCCACTAGTTTTCTAAACAATAAGAACCAAATCAATAACAATTAAATTTAAGGAACTAAATTAATAACAGAGACAAACTTGATGTATTAAAAGTTAGAAGGCCATTAGAGTTTTTGATAGGTGGCCATGTATTTATGAGAGTTACACTTGTAACCAAGATTGAAAGGTCAATTAAAGCAAAGAAATTGACTCTAGATTCATTGGTTCATTCGAGATCCTGGGGAAAATCGAATTGATCGCCTATTGAATTGCCTTACCCTCATAGTTGTTGAATGTTCATGACGTATTTCATGTGCCTCAACTCAAGAAATACCAGCTGAATCCTTCCACATGATTGACCTAAAAGAAGCAGAACTTCATGAGAACATGACCTATAAGGCTGAACTAGAATGAATAGTATATGTGAAAGGTAAACAGCTACGAAACAAGACTATTCGACTAGTGAAAGTATTCTGAAAGAGTATCACTCTTGATGATGCTACCTGGGAGACAAAAGCCAAGACGAGATAGCAATACTCGCATCTATTTCCTAGGTATGTATTTTTATGGTTGTTTGACTTTAAGGATAAAATTCTTAAAAGGATGGGAGCATTGTAATATTATGAGTTTCTTAATCTGATAAACTAATTTCTAATTAGGGATAAATTAATAGATTAATTAGATAATTAATATTTTAGATAGTGAATTGATGTTTTGGCGTGTTGGTTGGTTAAATGGATAAGATCGGGTGGAAGAATGGTGATCCAAAGTGAAGCGTGTGGGTAGTAATAAGATTTTCCCTACAATGTCACACGTCGTGGCATATGCTACATGCGCCATAGCGCATGGCACAAAATTTGACTTTTAAGGATGTGGCTAGCTAGTAGAAACAAATGAGGAAGGGAATGAAAGACAAGAAAGAAAGGGAAAGGAGAGTGGTGGCTATTAGGGCAAGGAAGTTCAGAGTGCTGGGAGATATTTTTGACCTTCTACTTACTGGGTAAGTTTCATACCGCCCTAAGCTTCTATTCTACCCTAATTTCTTTTATTTTAAGGTAAAGAGAAATTGAATTAGGAAATTTTAAGGGGTTAGTTTCTTATCTTTTAGTAATAAAAAGACCCTCAGAAGTTAAAATAAGGTTTTACGATTGGTTAGGAAATTAACAACTAAACTTTAAAGTTGTAGGCTCAATTTCACCAAAAGTGTGAAGTTTAAAAGGAGAGAAGTGTTGGTATGGGTTGTGTTTAAGCTAGTAGAAGTGGTGAAAGGGTTTAGAGAAAATAGTTGGGTGGTTGATTGTGATTTAGTGCAGTAATTAATACTTTTGGTCAATTTGATAATTGACTTATAGTGTTAAATTATATAGATTAGTGTGGCTTGCGCGTTAGCATAGTAAAAGGAAGTTGAGAGCTTGAATAGTAAGACAAGTAATAACCTTTTTAGAAACAGAAGGATTGATATAATCAAATAATTTATTATGTTTATTAATTAGTTTAATCATTTATAAGTAAATGTCATAATATAGTTTGTGATTTTGCATTGGCATGTTTTGTAATTGCATGTTTTAGCATCAAAATAGAGATTTGACTTATTTGTTAAGTTATTTAGAAGTGGTTTTGAACAAATAGACTAAGATATATATATATATATATATATATATGAAAATGTGAAATTATGATTGTGTGTGTGAATTGACGTGATCATGTTAGGAGTTGAGAGTTCACCTTAAATGTGTGAAGAAGTGTGACAAGATAATTTATATGATCTGGCTGATACCATGGCACCTCTAGTATAGTAATGTATTTGAAACTATTACAACGGGGATATCATAAAGAAGCATTCAGAGACACTTCCAATCAACAAGGGCAATCAGAGAGTTTAAGCAGTTGATAAAACCATGGCCATGTTTGATTGTCTTCCATGTCCACAAAAAAAAAAAAGGTAGATTGACTGCATTTTGACTCTGCTTTTAAAGAGTATTTTTTTTACCATCAAGCATTGATTCTAATGAAATAGAGTATGATCACTTAAGTATAAGATCTTGTATGAATACAAAAAAAAAATGCATTTGAAATGGTTACCGCTAATAAGACCCAAGTATGCTCAAACCTGACATGGCTATTAAAAAAACAAAGATTATTTTCCCAAAATAAATTTCAATGCGGTAACATGCATGATAAAATTTAATGAAATATAATACATTGTTTATATAATTAATAAGTATAATCACATGTAAATTATAAAGTAACAAAAAAAGAATTGCAAGGAATGTGAAATCACGAAATATGGATAAGGGTAGTGAAGTTGAGATTTTTAAAAGAAAAAAGAGAAACGTTTCAACATGAAAATTATTTTTAAAACAAAGCTAATTTCAGGGAAAACATAATAGTAGATCCTTGTATTTAAATTGTACTTTGTTTTTAGTTCATATAGTTTTATTTCATTATTTTCAGTCTCTTTAATTTCATTAGCCTGCAACACTAATTAATCCTCATAATTTTAAAAATGCATATAAAGACAATGAGCTGACACTGACAAAGATAATTCTTCTATAACTCTATTAATTCATTTGCTATTATGGTAAAAATATACCAATGACATAAATATAAATCGAACATATACGATTAAAGAAAAAAAAAAGATAAATATGTGACTTTTCAATTTTACTCTTCATTAAAATTAATTATCACAATAAAATTGGCTAAGAATTACAGCTCAGTGGAATTAAGGAGGACAATATTGAGAGAAAAAAAATTCACTACTACTACATCTTTCCTTATATTTAAGACCAAATGAAACCTAAAAACTTTACCTTATAATCAAGATTGGAAGTATTTAAACATGTCTTAAATTACAATTTTGATAAAAGAGTTAATGAGCAAATGAGATCCTAAACTATTGCTCGAAAATCATCCTGACCCTAAGCTCTTAAAATATATAAAACAAACCCTAAACTTTTAAATTCATAGCAAAATAAACCTTAACCATTAACTTTTTAACACCGTTATTGTTCGTGTAGGTACTGTTGAAGATTTAATTTTTTATAAATTTAACTCTAACTATTACAATATTCATATGGACAATAATGATGTTAAAAAAGTTAGTGGTCAGAATTTATTTTATTATAAATTTAAAATTTTAAAATTTATTTTGTATATTTTAAAAGTTAAGAATTTAAAGTGATTTTTAAGTAAAAGTTTAAGTTGATATTCATTCATTAACCTTTGATGAAAAGATGATGCAAATGAAGTGGGCTAAGAGTGAAATTGCGATCATCATCATAATTCCTTTGATGGATGTACCTCTGGGCGTACGGGAGGAAAGTAATGGTTGCTTATCCTATCCAAGAGAATTAATCAATGGGATACAGTGTGTACCAATAGATTATATACCAAGTGACTTGT